AAAGCCAAGTTTTCGTCAATATACAAAGACAGCATCCCTCGGCGTTTAGATTCCCATGCATTTCGTCGTCCGACGTCCCACACCTATCCCCATCATCAGCCGCCGTTGAAGGGAACGAAAAAGCACATTGCCACGTGCCAGTCCTCGTGGACTATCGATGCTTCTTAATTCCACTACCAACCAAGCATAGCCGTCAACATTGTTCAGGGAGAGTTCACAGGCAGCATGGAGGTCCCCCCAGGAATGAGCGCGGACGACTCGCGGGTACCAATCGTCGTCGGCGTCACGAGCTTTGTGCTTTCAGTTGCCTTCTTGGCTGTATCAATACGAGTGTACACCAGAATATTCGTGATACGGCAATTTGGTATGGATGATTGGGCATCCGTCTTTGCTTTTGTAGGTTTTGGAAAGTCCTCTCCATCCCTTGAACCTGATTCTGACCACAACTCTGTAGCTGTTGGTTCTTGGATGCGGCTTGGCTGTCGCACTGAGTGAGTCATATATATCTACGGCTCCATTAGATGGTATCTAACAACCTGAAGACACCAGAAATGGCCTCGGTCATCATGTTTACTTTCTTACTTCGGAACAAATTCAAGACTACATGAAGGTCAGTTGATGTCTGATACAATCCATTTCGCACACCTATTAACACTTCGAAGACATTCTACGTCACCATTGTATTCTATAATGCAGCATTGGCTGGTATCAAGATGACCTTCCTTTTTCAATATTACCGAGTCCTGGCCGTCCAAAAGATGAAGAAGGTCTTCATTGCGGCCATGGTAATAGTCGGCGCATGGAGCATTTCGCAGATCCTTGTCGAGATCTTCATCTGTACCCCTATCCCGGCATTCTGGGACAAGACCATTGATGGCAAATGCATCCCGAACTACCCCCAATGGTACATCAACGCAGCAGGCAATATCATCACCGACATTATTGTATTTGTGCTGCCGCTGCCAGTTATTCACAGACTGAATCTGGCCCGAGGCCAGAAATATGTCTTGCTTGGTATCTTCTGTTTGGGCTTTTTGTATGTCTTGTCCCGTGATCACACGACTATTCCGGGCTCCGACTAATCTTTGAATAGCACATGTACCATATCCTTCATCCGAATCCGATTCCTCAAGCTCGAAGAAGACTTCACCTGGCAAAATGTCGAGACCGCCGGTTGGTCCATCGGCGAGCTCTGCTGTGGACTCGTCTGCGCTTGCCTACCGACATTCCGACCCTTGGTCTCTCGATTCATTCCCGCCCTGTCGAGCCGTATTGCGAAATCCTCGAAATACCACAAGAACGGAGACTATTCTGAAAACACCGAAAGTACCTCACGCCACCGCGATCCCGAGCTCGGTGGTACACTTGGCAACCCGAATCACTACTCTGCCCGCTACTCGAAACGACGAACTGGCTCGGCGGACAGCAAGGCTGATCTCTATGGCATCGCCAGCTACGATTTGAGCCACTCTGATGCGAGCCGCGAGACAGGGCTGCCCATCCAAGCCTCGAGAGATAGCCCGGATTTCACCAGTCAGACCGATAAGATGCCGTCTCCATTACGGCAACAGGAGTCTATCGAATTGGGCGGATATAGACCAAACCACCACGCCGTCGTCGAAACAAGAATCGAAGCGGGAAGGAGAGTCTCTGATGACGAGATCGAGCTGCAGCCAGGAGCGCCGATCGAGGTTAAGTGCGATATTGTGCAGGTCTCCTCACAGAAAGTTGAGGCAAGGGGTTTCTCATGAGTCAGTCTTCTACAGATAGTGCTGTATTGATACGAAGAAACTTTGAACCATTGAGGGACGGCCTATTAAGCCCAGAGATTACGTTGGCGTTGGAGATATCACTCTTTACTTACTAGATACCATTTTCTTTACTACTTTATTCAACGTGGGCGGCTGATGTGGGATATGGGCGTGGGTTCTTGGCAAGATATTCCTATAATTACTATCAGAAGGCCATTCTGTTCTACATCGCCATATGGTTCTCTTCATTGCTATCCCTGGTGACTAAAGTATTCAAGACTCTCATGCATGGGAGCATCCTAGCTGGGGCCTCGCCGATTCCCGTGATCAGATTAGCAGGGGTGAATGAGATCAACTCCTTTAGCCTAAATTGCTCCCGTCTTTGCAACCAAGATCTCGAACCCGATCGGTCTCTACAGCATGTTCTTGTGAACATGTCTCATGGCCTGTGCCTTCTTCCATTAGCGGCTTCTGCTGCAGCCCCTGTCGCCTTGCTGAGATCGCAACAGAGGGGCTGCTTCCCACGAGAGAAGAGACTCAAATGCCCTCCAGATTGCCTGCGTCCTCTCAGCGGCGAAATTTTACCACGATCCTAACTTTTGGTCGTACGAGAACGAAAGAATCCGTCGCTGTGTAACCCTGTCTTGCCTCAGAACCGGGATCCTCAAATTCCATGTCCATCTCTAAAAACATTGCTGCCAAAGCTATAGACATCTCCATGTATGCCATTCTGGTACAAAGTTTAGCAATGGTCTGTGAGAAGCTAAAACGGGACCCCTTACGTTCTTCCGAGGCACGCCCTTGGGCCCTTGGAGAAGGGAGAGAAAGCTGATTTATCCTTTACCGCAGAATGGCCATCGCCGATCCAGCGTTCTGGAATGAAGTCGTTTGGTCGTTCAAAATACTTGGGGTTCCTATGCATCGCCATGTTTGCAACGCCGACTTCCGTCTGAGAAGGGATGATGTCAGTGTCCACGCTCTTGAGGTTGAGATAGACGATGATATCGACTTACTCCCACTGGCAGAGGTATGCCGTGGAGAACGAAGGCTCCGTCGGATTGGAGTACCTGTCTCGGAATGAAACCTGCATTCGGTGGGAAGATTCTCAATCCTTCCTCAATCACAGCTCTTAGATATGGTAGGTGCTGAATCTTGTGGTAGTTCAATTCATCACGCGTCGTGACTGTAGATCTAACCTCCAAGGCCACCTTGTCATATGCATCTTTATGAGCCAAAAGGTGCCACAATATTGTCAACAGCGCAGTAGATGTGGTATCAGACCCTGCTACAAACATGACGATCGCTTCACCGAACAGCTCACGATCAGGAAACGGCGTACCGGTGGTGGGACTTTTAGCCGTAAGTAGGTAATTGAATATGTCTTGCCTACCCGAAGGATTCTGTCTCTGTTTGATCATGGCGCCAATCGCCATCTACGCATTTCAGTTGACGATGTTGCTTGAAACAGAAGGCAGACTCACCTTCGCTGGATAGCCCCGCGTCGTATGGTTGTACGAGAACTTTCGAATTAGGCGCTGCAACAAAGGCCATCTCCAGAGTGTACCTTCCTAAAACTCTCTTAGTCAAATTGCCTGGAGTATGGAACAATCGAAGGCGTTTATTGGTACCAATGAGACAAATTTTGCTGCCTGCACTAAACCATCGCTGATGTTCGCCTTCTCTGTGGGATTGTGAAGTAAATCAAACGTTTCGCCGAAACAAACGTCCGATAAGATGTCAACTGTCAAGGCTGATAAACAATCATCTAAATTGACCTTAGCTTGACTTTTCATCACGTCGCAAAGCTTCCAAATATGCTCCATGAATGCTGGTTCCATGGCGTCTAGCTTCTTCTGAGCAAATGCTTGAGAGAGAATAGACTTCTTCTCTTTGTACGCAAGACCCATCGAAGAGAAACTACTTTGGAAACCTGGGGTGAAGCTCTGATAGAATGGCGACTTGTCGATTGGTGATGTCGCCGAGTAAACCTTTTGGAATCCTTCTGTGGTGTTCACAGAGACAGTGCTCGGGCCCAAGCGCACCAAAGGACCTAGCCATCCATGTTAGCTAATACCATTGAGAGCAGCAGATTGTAGTGATTACCGTATTTATCATGAAGTTTACAGAGCGTCTCATGTCTCATATTTGTGTATAGTTGGTATGCGTGCCAGAAGTCGTTGAACTTGGCCAAGAAAGGCCCTGGGACTCGGGCCAGAGGGTGGAAGATCACATTGTAAATGAGAGGGATCGCCAGCTACTAGAGTCAGTCCAGAGTCCAATGTTTGGAGGCATATTGATGTCAGTTTGATATACCAAACATAAGATCGCAGAGATGATGGCAGCGACTTGGGGACTGGAATAGTGCCAATTGACCGTCGCGTTCTGAGTCTCCATGGCTCATTTGGAATTGTGCTCACTGATTTGTTGACTCCTCTGCAACGATTCGAAGCGTGGCAATAAAGACACAACATGTTCTCTTCTCCGTAATACGGTAATTTATCATTTCTCGTTACTAGTCTTTCATATCCTCGCAGACAGAAGTGAGTACTTCCCAGATCGCCGATAACGCCTGAGTACAAGGATCGAGGATCCACAGTCACCGATGGGTGTGTCCAGCGCGGAGACCGTGTTCGACTGCCGAACTCAAAGAATGCGGCATGGGACGGAGAGCGGTGACCGCTGTGGGTCTCTCTCCCCTAGATTCTGTTTGTACCCTATTGTCCGCCCTCCGTCGCCATGCCGCTCCCCTTTCACCCGTGATGTTTCGAGATCATGACGCTTTCCAACACGATTCATACAGAATATGAAGCTTATGCATCAATAATGAGTTCTACAGTCCCTACGTTGAAGGAAGTCTGATCTAGCCGGCATATTCCAATGTTTCGTGCCTAACATCACTCCAAATGGGCCGTGCTATTACGGTTACAACGCCGGGACCACAGGCTAGCACAGATCCCCACAGCATTCAAGTGTTGCCTCTGAGTATGACCATGCTCATGGCTCCAAGGCTCCTGGCCTGCCCTTTGCGTTCTATGTGATACCGTGGTCTGGTGATGATGGCTTCCTCGCTGGGCAATCGGAATCATCTCAATCGCAGACGTGCCTCGATTTGAAACGATTCCGTCATTGCCAGCATGAGTACAACAACGCGTCGAGCCGGTCGGCTGCCCTCTAGCTGCGTCAATTGCAGACGGCGAAAGATCAAAGTGAGCAATGGAGCTACATCAATGACTGAGTCTCGTACTGACTATGAGAGTGCGACAAACCGACGTCCAGATCCTGTCACCGGTGTGAGCGCCTCGGATTAGATTGCGTTGTCACTGATGAGGCCAGCATCCGTCCCTACTATCACACTTCGAAGGAGCAGTTCGAACTGATGGCCGCCATTGTCCAGCACTATACTCCTGGTATCCCATTAAGCGTTGAAAGCCTGCGCACTTTTGTCAGCAAACTCCAGGCGGCACCCCAACAACCTGACTTTCCCACGGAACTTGCACAGCAAGTCCCACCTGCGGATACTTCGTCATGCTCGCCGGTCGATGGCGGGCACTTACTACCGGGTGTCGCTGCTAAGGACTCGGCGTCACCAATGTCAGAGGGCTCGTTCATTTCAGATGCAACACGCCAGCGAAGTGAGTAGACTTGCGATTCGGTCTAACAAGAATCTCGCATTTACTCATCGCCCCCTAGGATTCAACGGTGCCTCAAGCTACGCGGTCCTTCAGTCCAAAGTCAGCCTGTGCATCACACGAAGCTTCCCTCGGCTCGCGGCACTGCAACCCAGTGGCACCTTTGACTTGCGTGAAGGCGAACCGCTGTCGAATAAACAGGATGCAGCACTTCCCGACAGAAAGACATGCGAAAGATGCAGCGTTGTCTTTCTTCGCTTCGTCAACTGCGTATTTTACGTCCTCGGTCCAGAAAAGCTTTTCGATGCAATAGTGAGAGCCCACGGAAATGCAGAAGTGAGCGTGTCGACCCAAGCCATGATTCAGCTCATCGTTGCTCTCATTGACGACGATCCACATCATTTTGAGCTTGCCTCAAAGAAGATGGAGAGTGTCATCGAGGAGGGGAGTGTCGAGAGTATCCAGGCGATTATTGTTATGGTCAGTCATAATGCTGTTTACCTCTACTTCACCGATCAAGAACTCAGCTAATGCAGCTCACTGAGCTTAGGCCTTGTACCGGCTAAAGAAAAGCCAGCGGAACACTTCTTGGGTCGTCCTCGGCAGCGCCATCAGAATTGCCCAGTCACTTGGGTTGCACGTAGCAACTGACGACGAAAGTCCCCTGTGGGCGGAACAGAAAACCAAGCTTTGGTGGTCATTATGCGACTTGGATCAGTGGTTCACCAGCGTTCTGGGGAGATCGTTAGGAATCACCGTTGATCTAAGTACCATCGGTTCGCCTTCAGATGTAATCCAGCGCAAGTCATTGAAATGTAATCCTCAACTAACATCACGTCATAGAATCTCATCGGAGCCCCAAACATGCCGCCCATGTATGCCTTCGCCTCAGCACGCCTTACACGGCTTCTGTCTCGTACCCTTCAGTGCAACTCCGAGAAACATTGCGATAATGGCAATGCTATCGATCAGTTGATTCAAGACCTTTATGGGTGGTGGGAGAGCCTGCCTCAGCACCTGACCATACCTGCAGCAGCAATCCCCCCATCATTGTTGCGCGCCACGCTGTACTTACGGTTGAGATATCATTGCATCATCGTCTTATTGACTCAATCGTACCTGTTTAATGCTACCTTTTCAGGGTCTGATGCCGACCATCGAATGAACATCTGCGAAGATAGCAACAACAAGACTATTGCAACGCTGATCGAGATGCAGGAAAGGGATGTTCTTACCAGCCACTTCTGGTTTGATTCGTACCATGCAGTGACCTGCGGACTGGTGCTTCTAATCAGAATCATCAAGAATCCAGCGTCTGTCGATTTGCGAGATATGGTGATAAAGTTGAGGAGTCTTCTTCGAATGTTTCCTAATAGATTGCACGCTTTTGCCGTTCAGTGTTTTGACAAAGTACTCGAAGACATTGAACACCGCCAGTGAGTTCTTCAGCTTGACTTCTCTACCAGCAGACTTTCTAACTTCTTCAAGACCGGAAACCACAACATTTGACAGCAGTATCATCTCTTTCGAAACAGGACTACCCAATTTGGACTTGTGGGAGCAGCTGGGGTTCTCTGAGTCTAATTTCGATTTCAATCTCTAGCAGGATGTGTGCACCTCAGATGGCTTTGTTTCCGTAGAAGATGAGAAAGTCCAGCGCATCGCGTACCTGCGGCCATTCCGGGTCATCCACTCCTAAGCCGGCATCGAAACCATGGGATTGGCCTGGAATCAAAGAGATACGCGCCTTCACTCCAAGCTCGGTCAGCTCCCTACAAGCCCTTTCGCTGAAGGCATTGGGAATCAAGCCATCGTTATCCCCATGCACAAAAAAGGTTGGGGGGAATTTTGGGTGAAACACTTTAACAGGGTCGACGCGGTCGAAGTCATCGTCTTTGACGATGGACTTCATCTGTGACCCGTTCTTCAATGCTGCGAATAGCCAGGCGTTTCTAGGAACCGATAGATCGGGTGCTGGCATGCCCCTTTTTCTCTCCCCGTCTTGAGACGCAGCTGCCTTTTCTAGGGATGTGACAGTGGTCGTCATGACCGGTTCTTCAAAGATTTTGTCGGTTAAAGCCTGTGGCAGTGTCGGAATGGCAGCTAAGGCAGGCAAAGGCTTGTGCCAGAATTCATCACTGACGTACTTGACGCCATAAAAGTCAAGAATCGCCCGGGGAGGTTCCGCCAGAGCACCCTGTTCATGAGATGTTGAGTTTTGGGTATCAAACTGGGACCGGAAGCATTGGTAACTCACCAAGTGTAAAGCTAAGAGTGCTCCAGCAGATTGCCCGAAAACCACCGCCTTTCGTGCGTCAATCCCAAAGCCAGTGTCCGCTTCGAACTTTTGCGGAAGCTCCGTCTTGCACCAAGAGAAAACGTCGATAGCGTCTTCAATTACGTCGTGTAAGGGAACTTGTGGGCAAAGTCGATAGTCGGCTGATACGACAACAAAGTTTGCGTCGGCAAGATACCCAACTTCAACCTCTGGCAACGCATGTCTGGATCCTATCACGAAACCTCCTCCATGGAGAGCCAGAGCTGGGAACATTCAGTCACAAGGTAGTCGACACGATCGATTAAAGACTTACCAAGCCCCTTTGGCTCCTTACTCTTTGTTGGCTTCCAGTGAGCCGTTGCCTCAATCAACGTATTGCCAACCTGCTTGAAAACGTAGTCCTTGCTGGAAGTCATGACCACTTTCGGTTGGACTTTGGTATTGACTGGCACTTGGTAGTGTGTTTGCAAGTCTTAGTTCAAGGACAGCGACCCTGCGAGCTCGCGACTAGAGTAGTTGTTGAGTTCTTACTTTTGTCAATGACTACCTTGTATCCAGGTCAATACACTCGATTTATACGGTCCTCCGTCCTACCTAGTCAGCATACTGAACGAACGCACGGCCAGAGCCGAAACCCTGAGGTCGGTCTCCGTCCTAGGCCACCAATCACTGAACCCTTTGTACTTGACCTAGCATCCCTGGTCGACCGGCAGTTCAATCCCGTCTCGGTCTCCGCCCCCGCCATCTCCGCATAGCGGTCGCCGTTGGAAAGTGTGGGAGCGTCACTGTTCGGCAGATGATACAGAGTTTGAAGCGTCAAGGAGGAAAAGCCTGGAAATCGATTACTGTACTATTCAATGACGATCATGGTGTTTCAATTGCAACTACTCGTAGTCGGTCTCGGTTACCAGAAGTAGCGTAGTAAAACCGAAGACGTTTATTGAGATAATGCCGGGCTACCCGAATAAGTCGTCTGGTAGTATAACTATCCATCGAAAGACGGACGAATCCCATGGGCATCCCCAAAGTTTAAACAAATCAAGATAGCAACATGCCTAACCTCTCTGAGTGTTCGAGGTCTCTCAAGGCACAACAGGAGACGAACTTCCCTACAACGCCATTCTTTGATGGGCCAGAAGCACCTTGCCGTTTCGAAGCGGAAGTCTATAATTGCATTGTCCGCGGTTCAATCCCACAAGAGATAGACGGAACATACTACCGTTGCATGCCCGACTGGTCTTGGGCCCCTCTTTACGAAGACGATGTTTTCATCAACGGGGATGGCGCCATAGATGCAGTTCGAATCAGGCACGGCCACGCCGACTTCAAGCAGAAGTATGTGCGCACTGCCAAGTTTAACATTGAGAGGGCAGCGAGGCAGTCAGTCTTTGGCAAATATCGAAACCGCTACTCAGACGACCCAAGAGTGAAGCATGAGGTTCACTCCACTGCGAACACTCATATTGTGTATTTCGAAAATCAGCTACTGGCATTGAAAGAAGACTCTAGGCCGTACGCAATGGACCCGGACTCCCTTGAAACCAGAGGTAAGGTATCATCACTCAACTGACCAATGCATGCTTGTTCTCTACATGCAACTAATTCACAGCTGAAGGATTGTACGACTTTCATGGGCAGTACTCAGCTCCAACTTTTACCGCGCATCCGAAAATTGACCCTGACAATGGAGAGCTGATCACCATGGGCTATGAAGCCAAAGGCGATGCGACAAATGATGTTGCATACTATCTCTTCGATAAGAACGGGGAGAAGCTCGAAGAATGTTGGATTAAGACGCCGTATGTGGGAATGATGCACGATATGGCAGCGACCAAGAATTGGATCGTATTCGTACTCATTCCACTTGAGACACAGCCAGTTGAAATACTGCAGCAAGGATCGAAGCATTTCGCATGGGCTGAGGACAAGCCCCTGACCTTTGGTCTTCTGCCGCGGCGAAACCCTAAACCTGAAGATGTTCAGTGGTTCAACTTCAAGAACGCCTTCTACGGACACACCGGAAACGCGTTCGAAGGCGAAGACGGATGTGTTTACCTCGACGCGCCCCTTACCCACCATAACAAGGTGCGCATTCTGTAGGACTATCTCCTAAAAGCATTCTCTAACTCGTGCACTAGTTTTGGTTCTTTAGTCCACGAGGCGAAGACCCATTCTCTCACCCAAGCGGTAAAGCAGCGGTGGGACAACCTGCTAGTAGCTATGTGCGCTGGAAGCTCGATCCCAACGCAACAACCTTCCAAGTTGAGCCGACCGAGCTCGTCGCCCTCGATGGCGAAATGCCCAAGGTTGATGAAAGATTCGCAACCAAAGCGTACAGCAAACTGTTCCTTTGCGTTCACGACCCAAAGGCCAAGTACAGTCCTGTCGGTGGGACTTACAACACCATTGCAGCTGCAGATATCAACACCGGGAAGTATGATCACTGGTCTGCGGGGGAACATACTTCCCTACATGAGGTAGCTTTCTTACCAAGGTCCCCGGAGGGTAAGTATTTTATTGAGCAACAGACATCAGACGAGTGATGGGTTCACTAATATTTTCAAAGCTGCGGAAGGAGACGGCTTTCTTGTGACCATCGCGAACAGACGAGATGTCAGACTGTCCTGCATTTTGATCCTCGACGCCAAAGATATTGAGGCAGGCCCTGTGGCAATAATTGAACTACCTTTCCGGCTACGCAATGGCATACATGGAAGTTGGGTGCCCCGCTCGGACATGTTGCATGATAAAGATCTCTGCGATATGTCTGGCGTAACTACAGAAATTCGGCAGAAGTTTGAGGGTATCACCGTTCAGCCAGCCCTACGAAAGTAAAGGGATAATGGTAGGAAGGTCCAGTGTGTAGAGACCTCAGAAAGTGAGAGATTGAATGTCTTCTGGGTGCTTACAGTAACATATGTCTGTCTCTTACATCTCATTAGTAGGTAGTTGAAATAGCACACCGGCATAGGACTGAGGAAGAGGCGGTGTCTTCTTTCCTGGTAAAGTGCACAAATTAACTATTGCTTTTAGCGAAAAGACACAATTTGGCCACGACGCCATGCCCCGCATATTTCGCAATCAACTCCTGGACCTCTTTAACCCCTCTTTGGCGCTATAGCGAAGATGTTCTTCAGCTTGTCGTCTAGCCACTTGACATCTTCAAAGTTCCCCGGGGGCCCTCCAGCCCAATGGCCCCAAATGGAAGGGTAAACAGCCAGTTCACCGACGCCTTCACTCATGCACTCGACCTCATACTCAGAGTCCTCGGGCCTGCAACTGTCAGTATTAGTCATGGCGGTATCTAGAGCGAGATTCTTACGGAAAGTAGAGATCAGTCTTGGAGGGCAGCACCAAAGTTTTAGCCTTGATGCTCGCCATGGCCTTCTTGAAATCGCCATTGTATGGCTCTTGATTGCTCACATCGGCACTTTGCCACGTGTGAATCATGACAAGCAAGTTCTCCGGGTCCTTGCTAAGAGCCCACTTCTCCCAAAACGATTGCATGAAGTCCTCGAGATCCTTGGCTCCGTAAAACTTTTTGTGCAGCTCATGTCGGTAAAATGCTTGGGAAAAGCCCCATCCGGCGTACCCGCGACCAAAAGCTTTCAGGCCAACTTGCTTCTCCTCGTCTGACCAGACCCTGGCAGACTTGTCCCCGGTTGATGCAATGCGTCCTAATGTACTGCCGGCTGAGCTGGTCTTCTTTGCCGCGAGAAGCGCCGACTTGACGCCTTCCAAGAAAACTTGATTGTGTAGGGCGCACTTCGCGGCGCCACAAAATGGGACTGCGATATCCAAGAAGTCGGGATATTGCGTCGCCCATTGGAAAGATTGAGCCGCGCCCATAGACCATCCTAGAACGGCTCTGAGATGGGTGATCTTGAGTTCCTTGGTAACCAATTCGTATTGCGCCTTCACGTTATCGAAGAAAGACACGTCGGGAAATGGATTGATGTCTGAGTTGGAAGGGCTGACGGACTGTCCGTTGCCTAACAGGGCCGGAATGATGATGAAATAGTCTTTCGGGTTCAAGGTCTTGTCGTCTCCCACTAGCCATTCGTTGTCCGCAATAGCGCCGGAGTACCAGGTAGGATAGACAACCGCTGGAAGGGATGGGTCGCCAAATGTCTTATATGCGATCCATGCTCCTGGCAATGAG